CCGGTGTCCCCGTGTCCCTCCGATGCCCCACCCGTGTCCCCGTATCCCTCCGGTGTTCCTCTGGTGTCTCGATGTCTCTCCGGTATCCCCGTGTCCCACCCGCGCTCCTGCATCCCACCGGTGTCCCCGTCTCGCTACTGTCCCCGTCCTCCCGATTTCCCCCGTCCTCCCAGTTCCCCCATCCTCCCGGTGTCCCCCTCCTCCCGGTGTCCCCGTCCTCCCGGTGTCCCCGTCCTCCCGGTGCCCCCATCTTCCCGGTGTCCCCGTCCCCCCGGTGTCCCCATTCTCCCGATGTCCCCGTCCTCCCGGCGCCCCCATTCCCGCACCCCGCACGGAATGAGGCACTGGAAGGTGGCGGTGTCACCGTCCCTGGTTAAGGACAGACTGGACGCGGCACTCGGGTGCTCTGGTCCGGTTGACAAGGCGGGGATCGGTCCCGGGTTGGACTCGATGATCTTGGAGGTTTTTTCCAACCTCAGCCGTTCTGGGATTCCATTTCTGGGTTCCAATTCTGGAACCATTCCCGACAGAGAGCCCTCGGTGCACCCCTGTTCCACCCACAGTTCACCATCCCATTGCGCTGCCAGCACGGATTTTGGGGTGCACTGGAAGAGCTGCCAGACCCTGCTGGGTTGTTCCCCCAACAGGGACCAGAATGGGGTTTTGGCAGCCGCATTAAACCCCCAAAAATTTCCCTCCAGGCTTCTCTTTCCCCCTCCCCATTCCCAARCTTTCAGACCCAGGCAGCAGCGCTRCCACCCCTAAATTGCATTTTTCAGGCAAAGCTGCCGAAGCTGAAACAAGAGAACAGAAGGAAAAGGTCTTTCTAGCRCTACGGGAGACCGAGGGAACCTTTTTTGGAAAATCCTAATGAAATAATTGCGCCATGTCATCAGATTCGGTGGGGGAATACTCTCGTGGAGGGAAAGCAACTCCTCTGTCGGCCAAAGTCAACACTCCCCTGCACAGAAAGCAGCAGTCTGGGCTGACGGGCCCAGYACAAGTGAACCCAAACCTCTGAAAAAAAAAAAAAAAATTCCTTCCCTGCCCCAAAATTAAAAGCAGAGCAGAACTTTCAGCCGTAGGCGTCTGTGGTTTGCAGCTATGCGGTGCTGGGAACTCCGGAGACTTCCTCAAGGAATTTACATTCCTTTGAAGAAATACTATGAGGCTGTTTGTCTTTGCTGAAAAATGCAGATGGAAAGAAAAAGAGAACATTAAAAGTTTTGACTGAAATCTTTGGGGTCTGAGCAAATGTGCCGGGCAGGTGTTTTCTTCTTTTGATTTAAATGTATCCCACCCCACCCCCCCAAAAAAAAATGAGATGCTGGTCTCTGCAAGTAATAGGAAAGCTGCTCACTCCTCGCTCCAAAATTCCCCATAAAAGCCCTTTATGAAATCAGATGCCTCGGAAGGCACTGGAGCAGTTTCCAGATGAACACAATCATAATTTCAGAGCTGCTGTGCAGCTCCTGGGTGAAAATCTGCGCTGCCAACAACCCACAAAGGGCTATTTAGGAAAGGGGAACCCGTGAAAAATCCCAGCAGCCACCTCTGAGGGCTGAGGGAGCCCCCACAGCCGCTCCCGTGGGGATTGGGGTCTGAGACAGAGGGATCTCAGTGCCTGGGGTAAGCAGAACCCCACAGGCTTCTGGAAATCTTTCTGCTCCGGCTTTACCAGCAAAATTCCCTCCCATCCTGGCATGGTTTGACACAAAGGATAATTTTTTGTGCCTTCCAGGCTCTCATTTCTGGGTTTTGCAACCCACCCGAGGATCTCCTGCAGCACCAGCACCCAGCCCCATGAATCTGCCCGTTAGGATGAAGCGTTTAACCAGAATTTTAACTGCTCAGTAACTCAAATACCAKTGAGTCATTGCCCACAGGGGCTCAGCTTTTCACGATGTGCCCTCTCGGAAAGTCTGAGTGGTTTGAAGTCTCTCAAACTGTACCAGCCTGTGCCATCCCTGATGGCATTGGAAATCTTTCCCCTGGCTGTGCATCACAGCCTGTTTGTCCACCTTATTTACTCTTTAACTGCTCACACAGAGGCAGGACAGGGCAGGTAAAAGTCTCTTATCAAGATCCTCCTTCCATAAATGATTTTCCACCAGGCTGGGTGTGCCCAGCTTAATCAGCAACCGAACCACAAGCAATGGGAGAGGCAAATCCAAAGGATCCCGTGCATTTTGACAACGATGGAAAGCTGTTTCCAAAGGATGGGAAATGCCAGGCTGTGACACAGAGCTGTGCTCACCCAGCCCTGGGACTGACGGCAGCGCTGACGGCACACGGATGAGGCYGCCGAGGTTTGATCCAGCTTTCTTTTATTTTTACAGCTCTGCTGCCACCGCCCTCGTGGAGCCAAGGAAAGGCTCGTGGAGCCTTGGACGTCGTCACTGGGATGCTCAGAGAGCTGGCTGTAAATCTGGAGAAAGCAAGGAACACCCAGCGCCCGGCGCAGGCTGCTCCTGCCCAAGGGCGGAGGRGGCAGGACCGGCGGGAGAAAAGCAAATGAGTCATTAAATTAATTCTCCGAGCGAAAGGAGCTGCTCTGGCGTCATGCAGCGCGTGGAAAAAGGCACTGCCCCTTCATTAATTCCAAAGGGAACGCGAGGATCTCTCAGAAAGCTCTCCCGCGGTGGCAGACAACAGGAATGAGGTGATTATTTAGGGGCGCAAGGTCGGCAGYGCTGAGCCACCCACGCGGGTTCTGCGGGAGAGGAGGAGGTGGGGAAGGAGAGGAGAGAAGATGAGATGAGAGGAGCTGCAGGAGATGGACAGAGGGGAGCTCCAGGTCCACCACGATTTGGGTGAACTCCACCCCGGCCGCTGGGGTTTGCAGCCGTACAGAAAACACCCAGCAATGAGCATCAGCAACCATTTAATTAGTTTTAGTGTCACACCCCGCGTACAGCCAGAATTACACCCCGGTCTGAAACCGTAAAAAAGTGGCATTTCAGACAGAAAACACATAATCATCCTTTATTCCCCAAAGCTGTAAACTCCAAAGAGCTAATGCACAAAGAGAGACCTGCCAAATTTAATAAACACCCAAGAGCCGGGGGCACAAAACTCTTACACCAAAAGTAGAAAACCGTGGATTCGCTCTCCGAAAGTGGAACTCCAAACACCCTGCAGCGTTCTTCAAGGGCTGAAAYGAAAATTTCATTTCTCCTTTTATTTCCTCTTATCTACAGAAYGAAAAGCAGAGAATGAAATGGGGGAAGCCTTTGGGTAAGACACGATGGTAACTTCAATATCGTCTTCAGCTATTCATAATTCAGTGAGAGACTCGGCCTCAGACAAAGCAAAGAAAAATTCGTCTAAAATAAATTATTCATCCCCCCATGGGAATAATGAGTCTCTGCAAAGCCGTGTTCCCTCCTCTCCAGCCCTGCAATGTGGTGACTCGTGAGCCACCCTGCACGTGCAAAATCCCAATGTGAAATCAGGAGAGGAAAACCAACGAGGCAACAGCGGATTTGTACAACTGRAGTGATGAGAAAGCACCAGCCCTGCCCGGGGGTGATGTTATTGCTGCTCTGCACTGCACTCACAAGCTCAGACTTGGGGTGGATGGCTCTCATGTTCCTAGAGCCTGATCCCCCTCCCTGACGTGCAGCAGGGATTATGGCAACCCTTGTGAGTGCAGCCCCAATAAATACAGCCCCTGTGAGTGCAGCCCCAATAAATACAGCCCCTGTGAGTGCAGCCCCAATAAATACAGCCCCTGTGAGTGCAGCCACAATAAATACAGCCCCAAGGCTCACACTGGCCCTGGAGGGGAGCGTGGCTCTCCCAGGAAGGTCTGACAGCGTGGCTGCTCCTCACCTGCCACACTGCTATGGGACTTCTCCTCCCTGCACATGCCACTGGTTCTTCTGCCCCTATACAAGTGTGGGATTCATCCATGGCTGGGCCTTCAAAGTCTCCCAGAAAGGGTCCAGAGGAGTTTGGGAAGAGATCCAGCAGTGCCAAGGACAAGGTAAGGCCTCCCTGCACGGAGATTCCTTGGGGAAGCATCCACTGATCCCAGCCCTGCTCCACGCTGGGTTTGTGGCTGGGAGCCAGGAGCTGGGCCATGGGAAAAGGGGGCTTATCCAAAATATTTTACTGTTGGTTTTCCTCTCCTCTGCACTGAAGCTCAGAGGAGGAGCAGGAGGAGAGGAAAGGCCTTGAAACCTGAGGCTGCTGTGAGCCTCCTGTCCCGGGAAGCAGCCCCAGCTCCCTGACAGAGCCAACATTTCCAGCTCCTCCCTTTGCAGGGCAGCAGAGGTGCCAGGGTGGCACAGCCCTGCTCGGGCCACGCCAGCTGGAGCGAGAGTGAGGGGCTGGAGCCGTCTGACACTCGCTYCATGAAGGGCTCTTTGTGCAGAGAGCAGGAGATGCCGGCCAGGAGGGATGGGAACTCCCACTGGGGACAGCAGGAGAGCCCAGCACACGCCAGGGAAATACCGAGCAGCTGGAGAGGGCTCCACACATGTCCTGCTTGGCCTTCAAGCTGCCAGCTGGTTGGCAGGAGCTTTGCCAAGGTGCAGAAGGCATCGATTCAGCCCTTTCCTCCTGCTCTCAGAAGGATTGGCCTGGCTGTTTCCAGGCTTGCCTGGCCTGGGAGCAGGGGAGGAGGGGAGGAGGCTGCCTTGGGGTTCCCTCCTGAGCATCTCACTGGCTCAGAGGAGCTGCAGATGCTGGGTGTTGGCTGTTAAAGGGTTGGGGTCTCGGTGGGGGTGATGGTTTGGGGTTGGCAGCCCCCACCCCACAATAAATAACGGATCAGAGGAGCAGCTCTGCAGCGGGGAGYGAGCAGTGACACAGAACTCAGGCAAAACCTTCAGTGTTCAGCCAGGATGAAAGCTGCCACACCAGGAGTATCACAGCCAGCCAGTCTGTGAATCCACCTCAACTGTTTCTGTAGCTGCTGCCTTCCAGATGCCTCCATTTSCTCCACCTGGTGATGTCCTGGGTTTCACTCCTGCTAAGCTAAAGGCAAACACCTCAGTCAGATCCTCCTTTGGTGCGAGAGCGTCCCAGAACGCGATAATGAAGAGATCACAGGGATTGGGAGCGACGACCCGCGGCTGTTTCTGTAAATACCAGAGCCTGACCAGCTCTGCTCTCACTCACAACCGCCAGGCCCCAGCCCTGAGCTCCCTCCTGCTCCTCAGAGTCTCTTTTTGATGAGTTTCTCCAGTTTGCGTATCCGAGAGGATTCCTGCTCGGGCGTGGGAGCGCTCAGCGAGAGCGARCCGGCGCCGTCACCGCCGGGGGGAGGCGCGGGGAGGCGCAGGCGGAAAAGGTCCAACATGCTGCTCTGCTCGCTCCTCTTCAGGCCCTGAGGGAGCAAAGGACAGAGCTCACGGAGCTGGCAGCAGCTGCAGCACAGCCCCTGTCCAACCTCCACCTCCTGCTCGCCCACCGGGAGCTGCACAAAGATCTGTGCACRACCCYGAGCTCAAAGATCTGTGCACRACCCCGAGYTCAGRGCAGGTGTGGGAACGTGAAATGAAATTAAAATTTCTTTTTCAGCAGCAACTCTGCTTTCAGGGTAAAGATGAACTTGTCTCAGAGTGCTTCTCCCAGCCCAAGCCCCCTGAATTCATAGTGAAAGGAATTCAGCCCTGCACAGGTTCTCACCTTCATGTCGAGGATCTTCTGGAATGTGTCAGTGCTGCAGTCGGCGAGGAGTTTGATGTAATTGTCCACAAACACGACTGGGGGCTCGTGTGGAGCCATCACCACCTGCCAAGGCAAGGAAAAAGAGATCAGACAAAGAATAGGAGTTAAATGAGTGCTCAGTCARTTCTGGCACAGCAGTGACAGCGGGACTGGCTTCTAAAATAAAATGCTCAAGGAACAAGAAAGGCTGTTCACAGGAGAGGAAAAGGTGAGTGAGGAGAAGCAGAGGAAGCAGCAGGGTGGAAGTTGGGTCTGTCAGCACAGCAGCTCTCAGACTAAAGGGTTCTGCACCRTTTCAGAGAGCAGCAGCACTCTGTCTGCAGCCTGTGGGCTGGCAGGCACTGGTRTATTGCTGAAGCTCCAGATTTTATCTCCTTGCAGGAGGAAAACAAGCTGGGGAGCAGCTCAGGGGACAGTGCTGGCAGTGCTGGTGACACTCACAATGTCCCCAGAGATCAGACAGCCTGGACACAGTCCAGACCCTCGCTCTGGCTGTGTGTGCCTCCTGCTCCCTCGTGCATGCAGGCAGGACACACAGCGTGCCACAGGGGAATATGACAACACTGTGGTCACTCCCTCTGTCCCCAGGACAGTGTGGGCCAGAGCTCTCTGCTCTGCAGGTCCCCTGCCACGTCACTGATGGCTGAGCAGTGCCACACGCAGCCACTCTGTCCTCAGGGTGCAGCTCCTCTGGTACACAGCCCTGGAGACACTGGGATGAAGGATGTGAGCCCCCCACCAACATCTGCCCAGGAGYAATGGCAAAAAACAGGAAAAAAACTCAAAAGCCAGAAATATGATCCCTCCTTGATGTGCTTTTCTCACATAAGCAGTGGGCTCCACAGAGAACACATCTTTTGATAATGCTGGGCAGCCAAACCATCCTTCTGGAGAGCAGTGTGTGTGTGTGTGTGTGTGTGTGTGTGTGTGTGTGTGTGTAAATGGGCAGGAACAGCCCCAGACCAGACTCTTCCCTGCCTCCAAAACCGTTTCCATATGTTTGCACTGACCCAGCTCACCCCGCGCTGTATTCTGTCACCAAGACATTTCTTTCTTTCCCCGCACTTCAGACCAATGAAACATCATAGCCGTGTATACACTTATAAATCCTTAATTTACAGCCCTTGTAAAAATCTTCTGCCAAGATGAAAAGCTGGAGCTTCAGCTGGAGGAGCAGGGGAAGAGCTCTGTGGGGCCCAGCGCCCTCCACCCCGCTCCCATCTGTGCTCGGTGGGGCTCGGTTTTTGTGCTGTCCATGAGCCCACAGATTGTCTCCCCGAATTGCCTGCCCCAGAACAAGCCTGGGAACACACCCTGCAGCTCCCTGGGGCTGTTTGATTTCCCCTCACGCTGACACAAAGCCCTCAGCCGGGGCCAGGGGTGTTTTGTGCACCAGCAGGACCAGCAGGGGCTGTGTGACACAGCAGCAGGGCCAGCAGGGGCTGTGTGACACAGCAGCAGGGCCAGCAGGGGCTGTGTGACACAGCAGCAGGGTCAGCAGGGGCTGTGTGACACAGCAGTGCCACTGCTGCTGCATGGCCTGGGCACCTGCAGCTCTCCCTGCACTGCTTTCCTCTCCAAAGTGATGCTGAGGGCAGCAAAATTTACTCCATTACTCTCCTCATTCATCATTCCCCTCATTCAGGGAAAGCTGGAACACGCATCAGTGTTCCCAATTCCTGTTAGGACGAAGCAGGATATTTCCATTCAGGTGATTTCTGAGAAAATTCAAACTGCAATTCACTAACATCTCAGTCACTTTTTACTCCAAAAGCATGGAGACCTCGTGTCTGAATGCAGAGCACGAGCTCAGCTGTGACATTCCCTGGGGCACCGGAGCAAAGCCACACGGAGCAGCAGGAGAGGAGGGACAGTCAGGCTCCTCACCCCCTTGGCTGTGCTTTACAGGAGGCTCTGRCTGGCAGTGCCTGTCCTTCCTGACCCCAGATCCCACTAATTCCCTCCCAGAAATGCCTTCCCAGCATTGCTGGTGGGCAGGGGACAATCCCATCACTGGGGAGGGCACAACTGTCCAGCTCCCACGGCTTCTCCTGGGATCCTGGCTCCAGCACCAACCAGGAAGGGCAGATCGCTCTGCTTGCTCCTTTTTACCACAACACATTGCTTTTGGGTCATTTTCCAGGCAGCAGGGCTGGAAAATGAGAAAGGGCTCTGGTGAATACAGTAACACAGACATGTTTGCACTGGCTGTTACACTAGACAGTAAACAGGTGACTCAAGCACTGCTTGGCTCCCCTGCGGGATGGAGTCTGCACAAAAGGCCTGCAGTAACCTGAACCCCGGGCTTTGCCCCACAGCAGACACTCAGGGATGCAAACTCTGATTTCCACAAGGGAACCTGGTGCCTTGGCTCTCCCAGAGAGCAGAACCTGAGCCCTTGGATGCCTTGGGAAGTGAGGGTGAAAACTCCAAAGTGGAGAGTGGGACAAAGCCGAGGGGAGTGAGCCAGCTGTGAGGAGCAGCTGGCAGAGGCCCTGGCCGAGCTCACAAACGCTCATGTGCGACTGCAGCTCGCTGCACTGGAAGGAAGGGCCCCCTGGAATTTGCTCGCTGCGATTCCCAGCCCAGCAGTCTGGCTGGCACGGTATCAAAAGTCTTGAGTTACCTTCAGGATCATTTCAGCCCGAGTCATGCCTTTCACCACWATCTTGGTGTAGCTGGCGGGAGCCTTCCTCACCACTTGGGACCCGATGGAGGGCAGATCCAGGAGAACCATCTTCAGAGARTGAGTGTCCAGCAGCAGCTGCAAGAGTTAAGAGTTAAATTTGTTACTCAGGCCCCTTTTACCAAGATCCACGAGCTGCTGTAACCCAGCATCCTTTAAAGTTTGACACTTCCCACACTGGGAAATGTGCTGGTAATTAAACTGAAGGAACAGGAGGGACTGACCCATGTAATGACACTTCCAGGAGATGTGATCACCTGTGGCTGTGTATCAGCACCGTGGCTGATTTGAACAGACCTRAAATGACTCATGGCAGCCCAACATCTGGCACATCGGGCAGAGATTTCCACTCCTTTCCCCCAAAAGTACAAAGTAAAATAATCTTGATTTCCTGGAGCTGCACCGTGATTTAGATACATGAACCAACACCCTGCTTCCTCCTGCACACAGTCATCCACAGTGCCAGGTTTTCTGTGCTTACTCAGCCCCTTGGTAGGGCTTTTTTTCCTTAAAATCTGTAGCCACAACACAGCTACGTTGAGAACTGCTCACAGCTCAATGTTGTTTGTTACTAGCCCAGCAAATAAAGAAGCAGCAGCCATGAAATTAAGCCCAGACAGAGCAGCACTGTCTGACGACAAAATGCTGTGGGTTAGAGCTCCTTACAGCGAAATGATCCCGAATGCCACGCTCCTCTGATTGCACAAAGCATGTCTGAAGAGACAAGAGCAGCAAAGAACAGAAATTTGTAATCAAACTAGAGGAGGAGCAGCAGGGCTGGCATTGCTAACTCACTGCCAAAGCCTGGGATGGAGAGGTGTCAAGTCAGAGAGAAAAACACCAAAAGCAAAAACCCACAGATCTTGCTCCCTGCAAGGAACACCTCCAGTATCCATATTCCAACCATAATTATCAGCAAACAGCAGGAAAAGCTGTGTGTAGGACCAGAAAGGCTGGGAAAACGCATCCCCCAGCAACATCTGCACCAGGGGAGAGAAAGTGGCGTGGAAAGATGCTGGTGGGTGAGCAGGGGGCTCAAAAAATGTAAAGGAACTGGGGTTCTGCATGATGCAAAGTGAGAGAGATCACTGCTGAGCCCTCTGCACCCTCAGCCCCAGGGAGGTGTGTCCCATCCTAACGAGAKGCACTCACTGGGAATCAGGCTAATAAAAACCTTCCCAGGCTGCTTCCAAGTAGCAAATTGGGGCTGTTATTTCCATGCAGGAATATTAAAACCTTTTAACGTCAGACACGAGCCCGCTGCTGGTTGATCACTTTAGAAGCTTATTTAAAAAAGGCTCCCTTTAATCACTCTCAGGTTATTGCTCATCTCACAAGAGGGGCAGGCACCGAGCCTCACTCATTTGCTTTCCATTAAGGACGAGGAAGGTTTTGATGTAAAGCTCCTGTTTCATTTTGCAGGCACACACTGCCCAGAACCATCTTTGATGCTTAAAACCCAAGCAGCTTTGAAGGCACCCATTTGAAATTCACGGCGGTCCCATTAGGGATGATTCTGCTTTTTTTTTGCTGGGTTTTTTTTTTCTCCTAATAAGCTCTGTGTGCAGGGGACAGATGAAACCCTGTCTCTTCCAAATCCCATCCTYACACAGCAGCAGGGTCCCATGGGCAGGGGTGGCAGATGAAAGGTCCTTGCCTCCATTTCTTGGACCCAAAAACCATAAAATATTGCAGCCAATTCACCTGCTTCTCCTTACCTGCTCTGCACCCACCATGCTGATAGGTTTGCACTTGAAGAGATGGTTAATGAACTTKGGAATGAAGGAGCTGCAGGAGAGACACAAAATGACACAATTACACAGGAATATTTGCAGTCAGACGGTTTTCTGTGGTCACAAAGCATGCAGAACCAAACCAGGATGGCTTCCACAAAGCCACTCCGAGTGCCAGCTTCCCAAGCTGATTCCAGACATGTTAAATATACAAAATAAAAAAAAAAATCCCAACCCCTAGGCACAGTTCATTTGCTTTAATCCCTCCTAATCTCAAAGTTCATYGAGAAGTTGCACAAATACCCTACGTAAATAAATTGCTGTAAACTGTGTGAGAAGTTTTACAGTGTAAGGTCAGGAATAGGCAAACAAAAATAAGCATCACAAAAACAGCAACAAACCAGGATCAGCCTCGCTGCTCTTGACTGTATCCAGAATCTACATTTTCCTGCACACAAGTAATCCCATAACATGCATATTACATGCTGTACTTGAGGTCCAGCCAAGGCTGGAGGTCTRCTGGGCCCTGGACACTCACAGCCAGGAACTCTTCCAGAAAGCTCCTGGCCAACACAATCAAGGCAAGAAAAAGTTTTGTGAAAAGCAAAACATCATCACTGTATTTTACTGTCATGGATTTCAGGCTCAGAAAAATGACTGCAAGACCAGGGAGTGCTTGGTGAGGATGGAAGCCTGATGGAAGYCACTTTGGAGCATCAGCTTTGGTTTTTGCTTTTTGCCTTTGGGTCCAAGGCAGTTTCACTCCTCAGGGGAGAAGCAGATGCTCCCTTCCCAGCAAAAGCACTGGCTGAGCACCTGCAGGACAAGCTGCTGCCCAATTCCTCCACCAAGGAAAGCTCAGGAGCTGTGTGAACAACAAACTCTTATCAGGAGCACACCACTTGAACAAGCCTTCCTCTTGCTGCCTTGTTTTTAATGCACTCTGCTTCTTTCCCGTGTCCTCCTTTGGCTGCCTGCCTGCAGGGCTCACTTTTCCAGCACCTTGGCCATGACCTGGTGGCAGGTCTTGGATTTTAATGGCTCTGTCCTCAGTTAATATCAGCCAGTCTGGTTTCTGTCCTCTGGACTGAGGCTGCTCACRATGATGATCTAAATTCAGCGTGGTTTCCCCCTTGCATCTGTTGAGTGATTTGTTTTCCTCCTCACAAAGCAAGGAGCACAGGCTGCACCTTGTTTGTCCTGCCACCTGTTTTCCAAGCCAGGACATGGATTTCTCATCCTTTCCCGTGGAAGAGTGACAAAAGTGTAACTCAGGCACTCAGGAGCGTGCCAAGCTGCTGAGCAAACCCAAAGGAATGGTTTGAGGGAGAGCCCTCACAAGCAAAGGTTCYTTCCCTTCCCCTTCCCTCAGACACAGCCACTGCCTCTCTCAGTGAATCATTTCATCCTGGAGAGGTGTCAAGGAGAACGATTTCAAACTGCTGTTGAGAACCAGCTACCGGGCTGCCCCGAGCAGCTTTGAATTTGGCCACCAGAGAAACAACCTTGGCAAGAGAACACAAAGAGGAGGAGGGAAACAAGCTCTGTCTCCTCCTGCACAAAAGCATTACAGTGGAGGTTTAACCTATCTGTTTTAAAAGCCCATTTTTCAGGTCTATAACTAATTCCCAGAGGGCAATTAGAGAGTGATGAGCACAGCTGGAGCTTAGGTGATCCTAGAAAATGATAAATTGGCAGCAACTCCAGATGCAGCAGCTCGCTGCCGGGGGAACAGTGCAAGATATTAATTGTGCCTTTGATAGGGTGGGTAGATCCAATTGTCCCTCCCCCTGCAAGGTCAGGCATGGAGCTCAAGCTCATGTTTGAGAAACAGGGGAAGCCTTTCCTTCTGCAGGGTGGCAAACTCTGTTGGTTTGAATCCTCTTTTCTGTATAACCACACAAACCTCCCATAGACAGTGCTCTGTCTTGCATGAAACAATTCCCAGGCCCCTTTGGAYGGCCACCCACCATCAGAGCAGAGGGGTAGAACGACCTTCCATCCCCACATGCCTCTTATTTCACACTGCCTTATTGGAAACAGCTTCCCAACTCCAGCAGGACAGACAAGACAAACTGTAAGAGCCAAGGGCTGCTCTGCAAGTTTTTTTTCCCCCTTTTTTTTTTTTTTTTTTTTTGGACTAGCAGAGACCATCAAGAGCGGTTGCACTTAACAGAAAAAGGCACTTGAGCCTCTTTCCTAGGCTGGACTCAGTGCTTGGTGCTCTCAGAGCCCAGCAGGCAATCCTGATGTGAATAATACCTGCACGTCCAGGGTAATGCTCTGCACGAGGCTCTGTGCTCAGAATGCCTTTACTCCCTGCACAATCACAGCTAGATTGGCTGCCAGAATTCATTTACAGTTTCAGCCATAAAACCGAGCCCAGCAAACCCTCCCCAGGAGCAGTTAAGTCCTCAGTGTAACAATAAAGCCGGGCAAGACAGAGTGAGGAACCTGAAGCGCAGAAACCACAGCACCGGAGAGCAGGAGTGGCTCTGCCAAAAGCTGAGTTTTCCTAATCCCCTGCACCGATGATGCATCAAACAATGCCTYGCTGAGTGAGGCACAGACAGCCACAGTCTGTCTGTCTGTCTGAGCTATTGCAGGACATCCCTCAAACCTTCTGCTGTTGCTGAGTCACCGCAGATGAGGAGGGTTTTGCTCTACTGAGGTGGTGAGCAAACCTTGCCCAGGCTGAGCTCAACCCTAAAACCTCCAGGAGCCTCCCCATCCCAAATTCTTCCCWCCAAACTCCTCTCACATTTTAGCTGGAGCACCTGGAAGGTCACAGCACCCACCAGGCTCAGCGGAGGAGCCGCTCCCCCGGCGAAGGGCAGAGCTGTTTGTTTTTCCTGTCTCTCGGTTCTAATCTCTTCCTCATTGAGGTCAGGTCACAGACTTCCCAAACACATCCCAGCATTGCAGGCACGGCTTTGCTGCCGTGGGGTTGGATTTCAAAGGATGAGGAGCAGTGAGAGCCGAACCCCCCACCCACCCTGCCGGCAACAGCCCCGGGGAGCGCCGCTCGCGCTCYGCTCAAAACAAAACCCAAATGACAAATTAGGTTTTTTAGAGGATCGATGCAATTTCTGATGGCTATTTTTCTTCTCTCCAGACTTGGCTCGCATCCTGCTGTTTTAAATTTAGTGACTTTAGCTGCCTTCTCCCCTGTGGTCCTGTAACTCAACACTCGCGCTCTATACAATCCATTAGAGCCGAGAAGTGGCAGCTCACAAAGACACAAGCATTAACATGTGGAGAAGCACAAGGCCTGTTAAAAGGATTTCCAGCATCGTGGGGCACACAAAAGGCCAGGTATTTCTATTGGCCCAGCCAGCRTATTCCATTAAGAATTCAGAGTTTAAAAAACACAAATATTTGTGTGCATTAAAATGTGTTTTAAGATCGGTGCTCTCCTAACATTGGGCTGGTTCTCTTTAACACCAAGGTGCAAAGATCCAGCCAAATCATTCTTCAGGAACCCATTTTCCCCTTCTACACCTGATCCATGGTGCAGAGAGCTCAGGACTGTGGCTTAATTTTAACGTGCTGCAGATCAGAGCTGCAGTTGTCTTAAAAAACGGTTTTGGAGAGGAGCGGTGGCTTCTGTGCTCATTTTAGATGGGAACTTCCCTCGAGTCTGAGAGCTGAGTGTTTCATCTGGAGCTGACTTGGTATGTGCTCAGCAATAAAGTTAAAAGGGAGGCAGCTAAGCTGAGGTATTAAGAGTGTGCTGCGAACAGCTGAGTAAATGGGGGGTTTTATTTATCACATAAAACTCAAGTGTAACCACACACAAGGTTTTCATGCAATAAATTTCCACCGAGGCAGCGTTTCAAACAGTGATTAAGGGCAACATCATCACATGATTTATCAGGAACTGCTCCTTAATGCAAAGAATGAGTACCCTGAGACAGAGAGGGGGATGAAAATCAGGGGTTTCCTCCCTGCTGGGAAAGCTCCCAGCTCCCAGGACAAGCTGCTGCATCCCACCCTGCAGGAGCAGGAGCTGCAGCTCCAATCTCCAACCCACACAGCCCCTGCCAGGCCACAGAGCTTATTTCAGGGTGATTACCTTAGCAGAGATGAATGAAACGTTAAGGTATTTCAGAGGGACACATGACATGCACGCCGCCGCTCACAAGTCCCCCAGCACGGTCACATGTGACACCAAAAGCAGCAGCTACAGCTGGCAGAACCCTCCCGAGGGTTTTTCTTGGGGCACTGCCATGTGGAGCTCAGCTGGCCACAGGAAAGAGCTCAAAGGGTCTTCCCAAAGAAACTTTGTTTGGATTTTTGTTTCAGACACAGATGAACGTTTGGATGTCCACCCCGAGTCCAGCAGTGAGGGGCATTTGTGTCTCATCTGCTGCTTCTTTCATGCTGCTCAACTTTAAGTGACTTGCCAGGAAGACACTTTAATATCCCCCAGCAYTTAAATGTGAATTTCCCCTCCTGACTGAGCTATTTTTGCACACAAAAGCAGCTTTTAGACTATGAAGGTAGTGAATATTGTGTATTTCTCACACATGCCCTCCTCAGAGTGCTCATTGTAAATGTTCCTTCGAGGTGAATTTCTCAGCCCCATAGAAGAAAAGTAGATTTTCCCACAGCAAGAGTTGTGTCTGCAGTCATTCAAAGTCTTTTAAAGGTGTCCAACYCAAAACCTTCTGTACTTGGCAAACAACACAGAGTTATCATCCYGCTGTTTTATGGGATGACCTCAAGAAATTGTGTATTTTGGGAACTTACTTTGCAAATTTGATGCAGAACTGAGTGAAATACTTCCTCGTGGAGGCCAGGTTGTCACGGATGATGGGGACATTCTGCTTGATGTGGAGGATCACCGAGGTGACATAAGGACTCTGGTCACCCACGTGCTCCACGTTCTGCCACTGCATCTGCACAAAGGGGAAAAAACAACCAAAAAGAACTGTTTAGTTCATCAGGATTCAAGCAATAGGTAAGGGAAACTGTACAAATTTCCTGCCAGGAGATCTCTAAGGAATCATTTAGAGACTGCCTGCTGCAATYCACCACCAAGGTCAAGTTCTGCATCATTAAAATCATTGGGTAAAACCTTTCCACGAGAAGACACCAAAAAAAAACCCCAGAGCAGCCCCTTTTGCACTGTGACCAGTGACCCACACAAATGGGGACCACTAGGATTAAAAAACCTTTTGGAGCACACAAAGCTGCTTTAATATTTAACAATTTCCAGTTTGCTGGGATGAAGTGCCCATATAAATCCTGATTACAGGCATTTGAGAAAATATCTGCAAGCTTGCAAAGTCTGGATTCCTGTATGGCAGCCAAGGCTTTAATGCTGGTGAGACTGATGACAGATGGATGGAAGGGGTAGAAAGTCTTAAAGTCCAAAGCACTCTGCACCAGTGCAGCTCACTGAAAACACTGCTGGTGTTCAAGCCAGGATGCCCAACTGCAGCTCTTCCAAATGCATGYAAAAAGTATAAAACAAGAAGAGTTACTCAACCTCCCATTTTGTTTTTATTTATCCTCAGCAGGACCACAAGGGAACAGCCCCTGGGAGCCAGATTTGTGGCTCTCCTGATTTTCTCTGAGCCTTGTTTGCAGCACACAAGGTACTGCCAGTGTAAGTCAAGWGGAAAAATCAAAAATGAGGGGATTTGGTCGAGCCTGGCCTCACGTAACTAACAGAATCTCACTGAGGATCACGAGCATCCAGAAAAGCACATTCAGTTCTGGAGCTGCTCAGAACTCTGTAATGCTCTCCCAATAACTTYTTGGAGATGTGTTCCTCATGTTGGAGATGAGACAGGAGGAAAACTCATAGGAAATCAGCAGAGGAAACTGGGCACATATGGAAGATGAGCTTTCTCCTTTGAGGGGTTGTTTGTCCTCAAACTTTTTTTTCTCAGGCTCTGGATTTTGTATATGAAGTTTTTTACTCCTGGTTTTAATTTAATTGAATTGAATATGGCTACTTTGCCCCTGCAACTCAGCTGACTCAATTCCACCCAAACAACACGCAGCCTAAGTGACTTAGTGGGGAAGAGAAGCCAAATTCTTTGCAAAACCACAGTGTCTGAGTCCACACATGTCCCACTGAAGCTGCCTTTATTCAAACCAAACAAACCAAGCCCCAGCCTGCTGAACTAGAAGGGATCTTTCTCTTTCTCTCTCATCACCTGCTTCACAGGTTTTCACACAATCACAGAATATCCTGAGCTGGKAGGGAGAATCAAGCTCAACTCTCAGCCCTGCCCAGACACCCCAACAATCCCASYCTGGGATCCCTGGGAATGCTGTCCAAATGCTCCTGGAGCTCTGTCAGGCTGTGAGCAGTCCCTGGGGAGCCTGGTCAGTGCTCAGCACCCTCTGGGTGAAGAACCTTTCCCTAAATCCAAGCTAAACCTCCCCTGACACAGCTCCAGCCRTTCCCTCRAGTCCTGTCACTGTCACCTGCTTTTCTACCCCTCGTGGTGTTGGTCACACCCAACAAAAACACTCTGTGCCCTTCTCCTGGATGGACTCACATTCCCTTCCTGACAGAGCAATCCTCACCCTCCCCACGGAGCAGGAATGGCCAGAAAGCAGGAAGGGACTGCTGAGTTGAATTATTGCACCAACAATGAAACAGTAGCTTTTCCATTTTCTTGGTCATCATTCCAAAATCAACGCTTTACAACCAAACCTTTAAAGCATGAACAGTAAAAATAGYCCTTTTGTGTGTGGATGTGGGTGTGTTTCACCCCCCCAAAAAAACCCACCCAGTAGCTGCAGAGAAAGGAATAGCACACATACTGAAAAGTCATCATAAGAAATATGAGCCCAGCTCTGCTGGTAAAGCTTTGCTCCTGTTGTTTTAAATTTATTCCCTTTTTTCCCCTTGTCCTGTGTTTTCTTTGGGATCTCCACAGAGTTTACATACACAGGGTGGAAAGGAGTCCAAGGAACAGGAGCAGAGAGATTTCACTGAAAGGGAGGAGCTGAAAGGCACCTGCAGGCTGGGAGGACAGGGGGTGTCTGCAAAGGTTTTGGTTCTCACAGCAAAACTCAGGGTTGGGGTTAAAACAGAGAAGAAAAGAGAAGCCTTGAGCAAAACTGAGGTCACTTTTAGGCAGTTTACATTTAAATTGATGCTTAATTCAGTAAATAAATCAAGCCTTAGGCAGTGCAATCCATAAACTTAACTRGGGTGAGAACATCCCTTGCAGATTAGCAGCTCCCTCATCCCTGTGATTAAAAAGGAAGCACACCAGGCAATGGAAGTGCCTGCTGCAGGTCAGCACAAAAACACATCCCCAGCTCTTTGTTATCCTGAATGTCACAACAGGGGGTTTAGGGCAAATTCTCCTCCCACCCACAGYCCTGCTCCACGTCCTCCAGCCACGTTTAATCATCCTACACCTGCTGTAAAGTCTGAGTAAGGATTATCACCTGCACATTTTGTAATGTGGGGCCTTCTCATCATTTACCATTTCTTTCAGAACACACAAAATAAAGAACCGTGGAAAGCCAGCAGCATTCCCAGCTGAAAGCAATATTCCTGATGCTGCTTTCTGTGTTAAATCTCTCAAAGTGGCCAGCAGCCAAAGTGGATTGAAAGGTTTAAGCATTTCATAATTTACCTCTACAGTTCCTGAACATTTTTTGCAAAGTAAAAAAAAACAAAACCCAAAGCCAGACTGCAACAAAGGACTGGGAATGTTCAATCCTGGAGGACACCAGAGTGAAGTAAATGAAAAGAAGCTMAACAAAGGAAAAGTCCTAATGGAGTAGGGGCCTTGAGAGAGCAAAATTGGAATGGATCAGCGACACCATCTTTATTTCTTTAATACAGACTGAAATTTTACATTTCCAAATACTAACTCTGTGTTTAAATAACTACAAGCATTTCTTTTTCAAGTGTCAGAGTCATAACCCAGCCCTGAAGGAAAGGGAGGAGGAGGGTGAAGGAAAAAACCCTTTTGCACCAAATCCAGGTCTAATAAAAATCACATAAAAGCRACTCTGTCTACTGCAAACAGCAGAGTGTGTGCACAAGTGACAAGTATTTATTTAGCTAATTTCATAACACTTAAACTTGTTTATATATCATCAGTCCCATCACATGTGCTGCGTTTTACCACTGTTCCAAAGACAAAAATAAATGGCCTACCAGCTGCTSCTTTCTCAAGGTTGTGGTTTACTTGGGTATAAACAGTCAGAGCCCAGTGATTCCAATATTCAAATATTACTGTACTCTGTAGGCTCGGGAGATCTGAGGGGCTGCCACGGCAACACCTGAAGCGCCGAGCCCTTCCTAGTGGTGTTATTTTACTGGGCAAAAAAATCCTCTTTCCATTTGGAACCTGGACAGGCTCTCTTACCAGCTGCATTCCACTTCAAATATTAGCTGGGGGTGGCGGGGCTGCTTACAGCTGGAATACATCATAAAGCAGAAAGCTATTAAAATCCGTGGCAGCGAGACGGCGTGTTGATCCTACAGAAATGGAGCTCTACGTTTAATATTTCTAATTAAAAACAAAAAAACCACCCAAAACCCTAACAGTTCAATCTGCTTTTGTTGTCTTCACCTCTGTCTAAAGYGAGTCTGGGTTTTCACAATACTTTGGCAAGGAAACACGGCTCTGCATTTCAAACGTATAAAAGCCAGCGGTGGGACTGCAACAAAATCCTGAAGCTGCAGCYATAGGGGCCTCTCCAGGAATGGCTCCATATGTCCTTGAGAGGATCACAGAGCAATAAGGCTCAATTCCACACCACCTCCATTTGAGAGCCCCAAACAAGCAGGCTGGTGAAGCTCCCTGCCAAAGGAGACAAAGGGGAGAGCGAACGTGAAGGTGCATTTGAAATTTCATGCTGACAAAAGTTTCTCCCGATTTTAAATGCTCTCTCGCTGGCATTGGGAGTGGAAAAGAGAAAGCTTTATGGATTTGCTGAATGTATTTCGTTGTCTGTATGTTTTAATGTGCTGCAAAAAGCCTGAAAGCCCTAATCTGAGTAATAGGAGGGTTTGGAGTGAGGGGTATTTTTATAAATACAATTGCTGCTTTAAAGAGTAAGAAAAAAAAAACAACAATGTACAGCTATGTCTCCAGGCAGAGTAAAAGGATTTATCAATAGTGAAATCAAGCAATCAAAGCACACAAGAACTCCACATGGATTTTAAGGTGACCTTTTCCTGAAAATCCAAGCCCTACCTTGCTCATGGCAGTCAGGGCAGGGTCACARGCTGCATCCAGGTCCTGCACTAACAGCTGGATGCTGTTGGAGATCACACTGCAAAAGAGAGGGGGAAAAATGGATCAAGACTGAGTTTTAGAATCACACTGAGCAACAGAGTGCCAGAACTGGAGCCTGTGAGTGTGAGAGGAGGAAAATCCTCTCCTGGCTGACAGCAGCACTGATGGGAATGCACATGGCTACAACTTGTACCAGGGAAAAGCTGGGGAATTCTGCAGGGAGCTGCACCAAGGGCTCCAGTGGAGAGAGGATGTTTTTGGAGTTGACCTTYCTCTGTTTGAACACAARTAAGGGGCTGGGGATCAAAGGTGGCAGATGATGGAGAGGAGAAACCCCCAAGCATCAAGCCCAGACTGGGATTCGGCTTCAAATTCAATCCACCAACATTTGATCATCTCTCCATTTATTCACAGCCAATATTCCACCACTCACAGGAGCTTGCAAAGAGGATTTTAGAAATGACATCTGCATGAGTTCTGTGTCTCCCATGTGTGAAGATGAAGGCAGATGTCTTATTTACACCATGTCTAGGACTGCCGCCATCCATTGTTTGAGTTTCTGAGACATGTACCAGACTAAAGGACACATTAGTCAAACACATTTCCCTCCCTCTTTATTATATTTTATTTAAACAACATGATATTGCTTAGAGACAAATTTAAGGCCACCATATTGTGATGTGCATGAAGGTGCAGCTGATCCTACAACAGCCAAGAAAGTCAGCCTGCAGCTCCAGACCCACTCCCACTGCACACAGCTCCTGCTGGAAGCACTAACTGACTGGGTTTTGCYAAGCACAGTTTTTAAAAACAGTGTCAACTTTAAATCTGCCACAGATGCCTGTTTACAACCTCAGGATTATATCTGTAAGAAGCGGATTTTACTTTTGCTCTTTCTCATGATGGTGGCACAGATGAGAATCACAGGACAGGGATATATCTGAGCAACGCTTCCTCAAACCATCTTTCCTTCCCCTCATTGTCTTTGTGAAGTTCTGGATGCTACTCTGGGGCTCACTGTTCAAAATAATTTTAACTGTCCAGCCTCTCACTGAAATATGGTGTCACCCACACTTAATTTCTTGGTTTTGTTCTTTACCACAACCCAGAAAAGCTGCCTGGTCCCCTCCAGCACGTAAAGTCTGGAACAGGATGCAAAGCAAAAGACTTCCTTCCATGCAATTAATTTGTTTGTAAAGGCAAACTCATCCCAAATCAGTTGGGGAAAAAGAACTCATCCCAAATTAGTTGGAAAAACCAGTATGGGAGATGAGGTGACCACAGGCTTCAAGTTACAYGACCTAAAACTCGTGTTGGGATAAAAAAAGCTCGTGAGTGTTTCTGCTGGTGCCTCTGTTTCTGCTGGGCACTACAGAACTCATTCCCTTGGGGGATTCCACCAGGCCAAGGGAGCCAGACTGAAATAACCACACCGTGGGCACGGCTGATCCTGCAGGGCACCGGCGGGGAGGGAAACAAGAGCTCTGGTTGGCAGCAAACAGAAACACCCTGAGAGGATGGGAAACGACCCCATCACTTGTGTGCCCACCTCAGGAGCCTTCCAGGAGCTGGGTCACCATGGGCAGGCTCTCACCTGAGAGCCCAGAGGCTGCAAACAGGGAGAGAAAATTGTGTGTGTGTGCTTCAAAGGAAACATGGGCTGCAGAGGGTGCTGGGAACACAAAGGGTCAGCGTGTGCTGGGAGGGTTTCAGGGTTGGTTCTGCAGGAAAAAAAACCCTTACCCTGGGCAGGTCACAGCAGTGGTGATTCCTCACACAGTTCCTGGCATGCACAGAGCTGGTGGATCAAGAAGCTGAGGCCATCAAGGAGCAGAACAGCAGAGGCT